ATCGGTACATATTATATAGTTATCTGCATTCATTCAATGGAATATGAGATGAAGAAAGCTTACGTGACTAACATAATGGGCAGTAATCAAGTGCCAATTAATGCTACCAATATGATGATTAATTAGACTGATGATAATTTCCTATGAAAGGGAATAATTGCAAATAGCAATACAAGTTCCTCGGGTCCACGTGGAGCTCTGGAGTGAAAGTGTCCGGAGCTCCTGTGAGTTGTAGAAGGGAACAGCAGAATGCCACGGGCCAAGATTTGCTAATGTCTGCCTCTACAGGGCCAATATGTGTACAGAGCTCTCAGCCACGTTTGAAGGTTTAAGTAATGTGAAAGAAAAATGCTTTTAGAATCTTGAGCAATACTTCTACGACTTCAAAATAGTGAATCTAGAGATGAGAAAATAGTCAAATTGAACACTTAACTGAAAGGAGTAAGTAAAACTACTTGGATCCTTGAACAGAGCTGCATTTATTCTATGATATCGTCCAAGCCGTTTTAACGCTTGCTTTTCAGTTCTTGCAGGTTTAATGCTAATGGATTTAAGTCCATGTGCGTATACTTATATGCTTAACTAACTAGCTCAGAAATCACTCCAACTTTATGGTCTTCATTGAATCAGTATTTTTTAACCTCTGAAATAAACAACAAAAAAGCATTAAGATTGGAAAGGCCTACTTTTTTCATTATTCTATCATCATCAGTGGTGAACATTAAAAATGCCTCCTGACAAACAGAACAGCCTATTTACTATTTTTAAAAGGTGGGTTGTACAAAATTCCAAGTCACAAATCCAACAATATGATAATGAGAATATGTTTGTATGTTAGCTTTATTAGATACACCTGTTTGAAGAAGAGATTTCTGACATCTTTTAGTGATTGTTGAAGTATTAGGAAGACATATTATGGACGATCAGGTCACAGAACGCAACCACACAATGTGAAAAGAAAAAAAGCAAACCACTACTGCCAGATAAGTGTGGAACAACTTAAATAGAGGGAGGGATAGGGTGAGTGACAGCAACAATCTTGGGGATTACTGCTTTGGCACAAAGAGTCCGGTGTTTAGCTAGCTTGCCAGATAAATTGACCAGAGAATAAGAGAGTCAACAGATTAACTTCAGGAATTAAGCTTATTAATGGATTTCCATGCAGAAATGTATCCACCCATAAGATAGAAAAGGTTTTCCTTTGTGTTTCCAGCTGCTAGAGCATGCATTAAAACATTTCCACATGAACTACTAATGAGGGGAGATTTGTGTGTGTGTGTGTGTGTATGAATTCTCACCAACCTGAGGCAATGCTGCTCTATACTCATTCATTCTAGACTGTTTTATATTTGAAGCAGAACAAGTTTGATTTAACTGTGAACTGAATGTATTTGAGTAGAGATTGCTCATGTTCCCAGTTTCTGTTTCCTTCCTTTCTTAAGGAGAGTAAAATTTCATTGTTCCATCCACAATTTAAGAATGCAGAAGGAGGTAACTGGAATTCTAGGTACATTGCATTCTTTTGTGGAAAGTGTAATTATCGGAAGTTAGTTAAAAACACCTCAATTCTGTTGTGATTTCCATGCATGGAACTGTTGTTTTGACAGATGGATGGATTTTATTTTTGTAACCATCCAGGAAAAGTCTGTGCAATGCTCTCTAATGAGTGCTACATATCTTTAATGTTTGTTTGTGAATCACTCCATGAATTTGGCTCTTACATCCTCTTCAGATAATAGATATTTCACTTAAGTTTCTTTTTATACTAATATTTTTATTCTTGTTTCCTCTCTCCATTTGACCTGAAAAGATCAGAAAACCTTTAAAAACTCTGTGTAAATGGTTTATCACTAAAGATAATGAATCACTGCTCCTCCGGTGTGGCCTTGGACGTTACTTGTTTATAACTGCCTTTACTTCTATTCTAAACTAATACTTCTGCTGCTGACCTGGAGAGCATTTCAGTAAAATCAGAAGTCAATACGCTTGCCTGACTCCTGGGAAGCCGACTTGCGGTTAAACTCTTCTGTGTATCAACTCAAATTCCAAAAAGGATCAGGGCTTGAGAAATGAATTCATTTTGAACTGATTACACTGTCTTTATTATGCTGTAAATCCGCCAGTGCTGAGGAGAGCGGTGCCTTAGCTTAATGCCAAAAAGTGCATTATATTCTGAGTTTGAAGACACGTCACGGTTCAAGTAAAGGTCAGAAACACTCGTCTTCTGTCTCCCCTGAGCAGAAATGTGTGAAGTGTGTTTCCTCTTTCTGCCACGCTTCCCTCTTTTTTAGAGGAATGTCCAAGTTGCTTCCAAATAAAACGAATATCCTGTTTTGGAACACTCACAAACCTTGGCAGCGGCAAGCCGGGAAGGAAGGAGAATGAAGGACGGGATTGATACTCTTTTCTGTGGGCTTTCTCTAGAGAACAAATCCTCCTAACATGTCTCTTTCAAGTTTTCATTCTTCTCCCTCCAGTTCTTTCCATTCGCTTTCCTCCTCCGTTGTTGTGGCCGATCCTTCTCCTAGCTATTTGAACCAATTTTGAAAGTATTTCCTTCCATTCTTTTGTTTGTTTTCAATTATCCTTTTCCCCTCTAAGCCCCAAAAATGTCTCCCCATTCTCTTTGCATCAAGCTTCACTTTCAAAGTAATATCGAGGCCGCCCCTGGGCATAGCAACAACACAACCTGCTGCCAGCCGGTTCTCAGTGGGAAGGAGGAAGCCCGCCAGGCCTCAGGCCAACAGGGTGGGTCCCGGCTTTGTAAGAGGATGGACTCCTCCTTGTCAGCCTCTCCCTCCAACCGAGCCAGGTTTCATGGCTGTAGTCCTACAATTGATTTCCTTCCAGGGGCTCTGCAGAACGGTTGTCTGGGATGGTGAGTCCTTTTTTAACAGCTAATAGAGAACAAACTGAAATGTTGTCATTCAATGTGGTGCACTTCTGTGGCTCTCAAGAGCTGGGAGAGTTCTTCCTGCAGTAATTGTAATCTGCCTGTTTACTTAGAAGGGCAGAATTAGTCACTGGTAAATTAATAATGGGCTATCTAATGTATAAGAAATAAGCAGCCCCCAGACTCCACAGTGTTAGTTATTACCAGTTGCGGAGATAGCATGGCCTCGCCTTTGGGTTCATTAGCATTTTTGCTCATCAGGTTTTCCCCTTCTGTAACATGGAGAATGAAGGCAGATTTGTAAACTTCTGGGCGGCACTTTGGTGATAAGGATGGAAGCAGAGAATTTGGTTTTCTATGTATAGTCACGCTCAGAACTTTGCAGGCAAGTCTGATAAACTGAAGTCCTCTTCTTTTCTAAAATGAGCAAGCCATCCATGTGCATCTGCCACTATTATTTATCAGAATATCCATTTGCTTACTGATGGCTACACAGCCAGTATCTCGGTGTTGACATATGGAGCTGGAACACACTATCTGTCCTGTTGAATATTCGAACGCTCAGCCCACAACGAGCAATAATAGTCGTTATGGAAAAGCAGACTATCTGGCCCCCTATATGTTTCAAAGTAAGATTTTCCTAACAACAGCTTCTCTGCAAATGACAGAATTTTTTAGGGAGTACAAACACATCCGCTGGTAGACTCATGAATGGCTCAATTATAAATGAGTTTATCAGATGTTTCCTTTTCACAAGCTCTTTCCTCATGCCCTGGCCTCTTGGGGCAAGGAGAGGAATTGTTACAGAATAAAGACTTTGTTGCCAAGAGTAATGGAAGTTAGGCTGTAACTGTTTCACAGTTTTACCTAGCATGTGCCTTGTTCAAAGTGAATAATGAAAAAGCATCAGTTACCTTTAACTGGGACATTCTTTCCTCTCTGATTTCAGAGCCTAATTTGTATGTTAGATTGCCTTATCAGAGAAAGAAAGATTCAAGATCTATTTGTCAAAACATTTTTAAAAAGTGTATGTTTTATTTACACCCCCTCAAAGCAAAGGGCCGGGGAACAGGAAGTACTATCATATGTTAAGAAATCCTAACTTGGACCTTTCACATTTTACTTTAAATAGGCCCAATTCCCCTTCAGTACAATATGCTCAAAGGACATCAGGTTTCATCCCAGAAAAATAAACAATGGCCAGCAGTTTCTTGAATTTAAATGCTAAGTATTTTTGAATGTTTGTTTGTCTACTTCTTATTATGGGGACCAATAGAGTTAAGACCAAACTCACGAGCTACAAAACTGGAGCAGAACTGCCACATGGCAATGCATTCAAATTACAGAGCACCTGAGTTATAAACTACAACTGGCGACCTAAAGCAAATGCGCCTGGCTTGCATGTGAAAGGTCACAGCTCCTAGGGCATAGCTTTGGGAGCACGGTACATGGAGAAGCAGCAGGAGCAGCCCCGCCCTCTGGGTTTGCATACTCTTCACTTATGGTTCCACACTTGATGCTCAATTTCGAATGAATCTAGACCAAAGAAATAAACACAAGGAAAGTCTAGGACAATAACTAGAAAAATTCCGTGCATTTTTATCATTTTGCATATAAATACTCATTTAAAATTTTTCAAAGTGGGTTACTAATGACATGTAAACTTTGTTTAATATAAGTTCATAGTAGCTTTTGTTTTTGTTTTCTTCTTCTAAAGTTAAACTCACAGTTAATTTTTGCAAGGGAATTTTCAACCATGACCTTGTTTAGGTAATTTGTTATATACATAATTATTGTTTTCATTTCTGGAAGACAGTTCTGTGATTGTTGGCTATCTAGAAACTTTCATTCCTGTTTTCTCTAAGCTAGAAACTGTTTCAATGAAACAGTTATGGCAGGACATGTTGCATTTGTGCCCCCAAAAGTAAGAAATTCTACATGTTCGATGTAAAAGGCCAGAACAATGTCAAAGCAATGCAATCACAAATCGGGGCCTGCCGCCTGGTGAGAGGGTGCAAGAGAGGCCTGTCCCAGCACGACACACGCCCCAGAGGATAGCTCAGCGTGTGACAGCGGAACTCACACTTGCCTTTCCTTTGTCTTGCAGAGAGAGTGTGCTAATTTCATCAAGGTGCTGAAGGCCTATAATCAGAGCCACTTGTACGCTTGTGGAACGGGAGCGTTTCACCCAATTTGCACCTACATTGAAGTTGGACATCACCCTGAGGTAACGCTGGCTCTTACAATGGTGTTTGCCCGTCACCCTCTCCTGTTCAGACGCTTTCTCACTAATCTCTGCGGCTCAGCTGGCTTCCGCGTCACTGTTCAGCAGGACGACTTCAACTTCAGATGCTGTTAGTAATTTTGAGGTGTGAATACAGAAGGAATGAGGGCACCACTCCACAATAACCAGGGAACAGGAGGAAGGAAGGAAGCATTTGTTCCTGTCTGGGTTGCCCAGTCCCTCCTGCTCTGCGTGGGCAGCAGATGCCCCTGGCTGAGTGTGTGCTGTTGTCACCTTCGTTTGTACACTGCCAGCTCCCCGCGGACATCCTCAGCCAGGAGAGCCCACCACCCACGGGTCTCTTCCGCCAGGGGTGGAGGAGGAGGCCCAGGGGCCTGGTGTCACGCTGTACCCAAGCGTTCACAGTAGCGTGTCAGGGTTCTTGTTCCAAGCCTTCCTTTTGCAGTTTTAGTTATTATTTTGGCATCAAAAAGAAAAAAAATAAATTTACCTACTGCTTGTAAGGATGTTTTAGTGGAGAAAATTGGTGAAGGGATTATACTGTTTAAGTAAAATTTAAGTAAAAGTTAATATGAAGGAAACACTACTAATGTTGAAAATACTTTGGTGATGGGGTTATCAATCACCCTCCACTAGAAACCATTTTATCATTTTTGGCGTTCAATCCTAAGAAGAACAAAATGTTCATGTGGTGAGAAAATCATTTGTGACAGAATTTTCTTCCAAATTGGAATTCAGAAATACTCAGCAAAGAAAGGATTTGTTCAGGGAGTATTTCTGGAATCCTAAAGATAAGACCTAATTTGCATGTTGTCACTTCATTATAACTGCAACTGGAGGTTCTCTCCCTCGGTTCTTAAGCTGTCCTAGAGAGACACACACATGTGCTGAGCGCACCTGAAACAGCTGGGGTGCAACTTCCTCATCCGGGAGGCGCCTGCCTTCCAGACTGGGCGTTCTCTCGGTGAAACACAATCCTGACCTTTTCCTAGGGATCCTGGGCACCTGAAGAGTCTTTCCCCAGGTCTCACCAGTGGTCTCTCCGTAGCCTATTCCCACTCGTCCTCCCTCCGGCTGCTGCTGTCCTCCTTCTCCCGCTCCCCTTCCTCCTCCTCCTTTGCACCTCCACCTTCTCTCCTCTTGCGCCTCTTCCTCCTCTCCTTTCTGTCCTCCTCCTCTTGTCCTCCTCTCCTCCGAATCCTCACAATCACATTTGGTGTCCTCCCCGATGTATCCTAGAGTCTCAGATAAAAACCAACGTGAAGAAACAGGTCCTCATATCTTACTTGTTCCGCATTGATAAAACTAAGATTAAGTTCATGTGCGGTCCTGGGGTTCACACATACAATGTGTCTATCACTTTCTGACGAAATGCTACCTCTTCACTGGCCACCGCAAGCAGCCGGCCAGCTGATCTGAACGTGGGCCCAGGCTGATGACCCTGGAGCCGCCCTCCCTGTGTTGCAGGTTTTCTGCCCATCCAGAAGGAGAAGCACTCTGTCCCTGGCCCCGAAGAGTAGAAGAGACAGATTCTGCTCTCACGGCAGGTCCACGACTTACTCTGCAATTTACCAAAGGCAGAGCAGTCGGAAGAGTTACTTAGCCTCTCTGAGACTGTCTGGTAACATGGATGGGAACTAAAAAATGTAAGACAAGGCTTCCTCATCCTCCATATCCGCACATTTTAAAGAAGAGGCTGCTTCAGTGCGCCTCAGCCTCTCCGGGTCCTCCCAGCTCACAAGTGTCTGCTAATCCCATCCCTGAGGAACGCCAGTCCTCTGCCTCCTCCTTGGGCTTTCGTCCAGCGCAGTACAGGACAAACTGCTGGACCTGGAGCTGAGTGTTTGTTTTCACCGCTTGAGATCTGGAGAGCTGTGAGGAAAACTGGTCTCTACAGCTGCTCTGAGGGTCCAGCATTGTCTCCTCCTCTGGCCAAGCCAAAGAAGGGCAATTAATACTGGAAAATGCAAATCGGCTGAAAGCTGCTCTGTTCTTCTTATGTGTAATTGTCACCCTACCTCTGAGACACCTCCCTGCAGATGAGGCTGTAAAGTGATGTCACAGGCGCTCGTGGGGGCCCGGCGATTCTGCACTTATCTGCATTGGTGAAACATTGAGACTGACAGGGTCTTGATGGCCATTTGTAATAAAATGTCCTATGCTGACCCTGCCTTTTCATAATTTTCCATAATGTTTTCCTTCCTTTCTGAGCTTTCTGTATGACAGAGTCAGCAGCCCATGCTCTCTGCAGCCAAACTCGGCTACCTGCGGTGAGGGTGGGGGTCTGGAGAAGCCTCCTCCATGAGAGGAACCCATGGAGCTTCCTGCCGGGCTCCTGCAGGGGAGACTGGTGTGAGTGGCCTCCTGAGACTCTGAAACTCAGGTCTCTTGAGAAAGGCCTTCTGAAAGGTCCTCTTTCGGAAGCTGTGTGACTTTGATTTGCATGACAGCTTGAAATTGGGAAATGCCATTCCAGACTGTTGAGGAGGTCAGGAAGAAAGTGATTATGCAATTACCTGGGGGTTGGGAGCAGTCTAGACAGGCAATCTAGGAAATTCTGGAAAAGACATTATCAAGATAGCTTGTCTAGACTACATCAAGTTTAATTTTCAGTGCTTAAGCTGCTTTATGAAACAACCTGCTTTACATTGATCTATACTAGTACCTAAAGTACTGCCTTTGGCTTTAAAAGATTATGCTGCCTGTGAAGCTGAGCAAAAGGGACAACGCACACTCCATGCAGTCAGGGAAAGGGGCAGCAGTGAAAGGCTGGGTGAGTCAGAAGCACAGCAGCCATCAGGCTGGGCCAAGGGCAGGGGGTGTCTACGCTCTCCCAAAGTGTGCATGCACCAACGTTTACTAGCAACGGGCATTTTCAGACAGGCACGCTGGACTCCAAAATTCTAGTTCAGGAATTGCATGTATATTTGCTATAGCTGCCCCTTAAAATGGAATAATGGAATACAAGTGTATTTTAAGAAGTATTTGTCTAGTCATACATAACAAATAATTATATCTTTATACCACTGTTAAAAAATAAGATTTTTAAACTTAATATCTAGGTGTCAAAATGCCACCGAAGTAAAGACTTCAAGCAGTAAAGACTTCAATTTACTTTTGAAGCAAATCAAGCCTCCCTTTATTATGTAATCTCTTTGGAACTTGTAAGAGAAAATCAACACTTCTTGCAAGTACTGATAAAGCAATTACTAAAATGCCTCCAAGCTTAGCCTTCTAGTTATGAAAATAGACTTCCTTTTCCCTTCTAGTTTTATACTAGCAATGTGTGCGCTCTCGGACAGCATATTCTAAATCTAGCCTTGCTGCACAGTGAACGGCTTTTGACCACACGCAGTGTGTCACAGATTGCCGTATTACACAGATTTTCTGTTTCCTGTGGTCCGTTTGGGAATTGGTGGACATATTAATTAACTCCAGTTCTGGAGGATATGTGTCAATCAATTCTTGGGCATCTGCCAATAGCACTTGACACGGCAGATAGCTGCAGTGAGGTCACCTTCACCATGCACATCTGTGTTTCTTCGTAAACTGCGTGCAGAGCTCGTACGAGGAATCGTGCAGATGAGGGCACAGATGAGCTCTGAGCTGAGGCTCTCCGGATCCATGCAGTTCAGATGAAAATTGAAAGTCATCCTTAAGAGGCAGACTATTCCCAAAAGGCTTGTAGTACATGGTATTTCCCCTTCAAATTTACATCTGTTAATAAAAAAAAAAAAAATGTATAAATTTAGGAAGAGCTTAGCTTTTCAAAAAAGTCTCTGGCTGTTTTCTGAAATTCCAAATGGCCTCTTCGGAGTCCTGGCAGGAAATTTAAAGAAAGAAAGACCCAGATGAGAGCGGGAAATGATTAACTCTATAAATACTCTCATAACGTCATGATCTCAATTTATGATGGAACCAAAGGGACAGCAGAAATGCAGGGAGGCTTAATGGCTATCTCCAAGGTCACTGCTGCAATGACAACCAATATATCTGCGCACAAAATAAAGTGCTTTGTCTGTGTTTTTCATTTCTACCCAGAACAGGAATCTGCTCTTCTGCAAAACTTGGACTCAAATGCTCTTAGTAACACTCCCCAGGCCACCACGTTATTTAAGTAGGAGGTGGTGTGGTGACAGCTCCTTGATACATCTACTCTAACCTCTTCGAATCCAGTTGTCTCTCTCAATTATTTTGCTCTTTGGTTCAGTGGAGCAAAACTAATTTCTAAGAAGAAATATAATGCTGAGAATTTCCGATATGTTGGCAAAATAACGAGGAGCTGCTTTGGGGGAGGGGACACCATCCCCTCTCTCTGAGGTCATCAGTAGGGGTCTGTGTTTCTCTGTAATACTGGGTGACAAAAGTGGGAATCGCAAGCAGCAGCCCCTTTCTGTCCCACATGACAGCTCAAGACAGCCCTTGCCAACCTGAGCAAGTGCAGTCACGGTGAGTCCTCCGCAGTGCCTGAGCTTCTTTTTCCAGACGTCGTGAATACTTGAATCATGGTGGAAGATCCGCCTGTCTATGCTCATGAACAAAAATACTGCCATTTATGTTTCAAATTAAATCTTAACATGATCTGCAGTTTCTGCTTCAGAAGAGCCTTCACAGTTCATAAAATCTGAGAGAACTGAGGTCGCCAATATGGTTTACACGGGCTATTAGAATTCTGATCTCTGCATGTAATAATAGGATTATTTCTCAGAACTTAACTGTAGAATGGCCAACTTCAGCAGTGAGAGGACCCCAATGTTATGAGAAACAGGGCTAGATTAAATTAAGATTTACAATTGGTTAAAAATAAGTAAATAACAGGCAAAGAAAGATCTAAAACTCCAAGCGAGCATCCCCTAAATCCATTTAAAATTATTTCTATCACCACTAGATATTCTGATTTGATTGGCCTGAATATTTGTGGTGTGCACTAGTACTGATCATTATTTCATCTCCATCACTTACTGGTTCAGTTGTATGAAAGT